ACTAAGGAAGAATTCCAGACACAAAGCAAGTCCTGAATATGTGCTAGCTGCTTACCTCTGCTGTCTTCTAGAAAGGACCTACTTGCCCCAATGGTCTCAAAGCATTGGTTTTAGCCTCAAGAGTCTGCTTTCCTCAAGAACATACACACACACACACACACACACACACACACACACACACACACACACACACACACACATATATATATATATATATATATAAGAAAGGAAAGCAACTGCATTTTACTTTTCAGTCTCTGTGATTACAACTCCCAAAGTACATCCTCATCCTTTTGTAAGAAATGAGCCTGGCTCAAAAAGATTATTGCTCCCTTGCAACAAACCAGCATTATTTCCTTCAGTTTGCAAGGTAGCCAAACTATTTATCTGTTTGCTGGCAAGAGACTAAATACATTTCAGAATCATGTCAAGAAGGTGCACCTAGCACACCACTGCTAGACAACACGATGCCTTCAATTTAGGCACATAATCAGGGTGAGTTAATTATTACATAACATTTGTTAAATTGTAACTGTGTGTAACTCTATATATGCCTTTGACCACAACAAAGGTTGACTTACTATATTCTTCAAATATTAAAATAACAGGTTTGGGGACAAGATGATGGTCAATATTTGGAAACATCCTAGTTTTCGTGGGTTGGCATTAACACCATAGGAGCAAAGTTAAATTTACTCACATGAAAGTGCCAATTGACTTAATTGGTCAAATTTAGCACCTAACATGTAGTCAGATTGTACCCTTAAAAACACCAGGTCCAAAAGCCTTAAATATATAAAACTCAGTTCCATAATTTTCCAATGATCAAAATATTATTCAATATTATTTTCAAATGTCTTTATAATAATCTTGCTAAAATTAATAGCTCAGGAGTGCTGTCTTCTATGTAGATTGTGGCTGATAATGGTTATACAGGCTAAACCCACTGTAAAAGAAAAATTTAAAGGTTAAAATAATTTTGGAATTTGAGGAATTCCAAATGTTCAAAAACCAAAGAGGACAGGAGAGGGATCAAAAACAAAAGAGAATAAAAATATCTAAGTAAATATATAAATAAGAGGAAGAAACTGAAGTAACTGATGAAAATACATTAAAAAAATGACAAAAAATTCTGAAACCAATAAAAATATTCTCTTCAGAAGAGTTGGTTTTAACCTACTCTTTTATTACAGGCCTTGAGGTACTATACTAACTCTCCACCATTGAGCCACATCCCAGCTGCAGTATTGATTTAAATAATTATTTTAACTCAGATATGACATAATGAAAGCTAGATGATAACTCAAGAACCTAACAACAAAGAATCAAAAGGAGCAGAATAAGTGAAAGATGAAATGTAAAAGAAAGCAATTTCCCACTGCTAATAGAAAATGTCTTAAATATAACCATTATTCTTGTGATTAGAGATTTTATGGCTAGAGCTCCATTCAGAACAATAGCACAAGCAAGTTTTGGTCTTGTTTTGGTTCACCTAAGAGAGGAATCAATAAACCAGGTAACAAGGATTCCAAAGTGTGACAAGAGGCACAAGCAGGTGACTCATCTTTGGCACTGGCTTGAAAGGCTGAAGTAGCAACCAGGTCAGTGGGTAAAGGGAACACTAACCTTTTAACAAACTCTTGAGGATTTCAGTTGGAGAAACTCTAAGAATTACTTTGATATCTGGAGATTCTTTTGTAACAAAGTACTGGGTTTACAAAGGAACTCTAAGGTTTAGTCAATGTTTAGGATATTACACTGCACATTGTTTATTTTATTGAATTAGTTCCCACAATCTAGTGAGGAAAGATTGCTAGAATTCTTGCTGCTAATGAGAAGATGGCAGAGTGGATAAGCAGCTTATGGAGGTCCTCACAGCTAGTATGTGGCCAAACAGATCCAAACTGAGGCAATCTGTCCACTGAGGATGAGTTTCAATTTCATGTCTCACCTCCAACCCAGACATCCTTTAAAATGAATTTGTTTTAAAGAATTTCTATGGTTCCATTTTCATAAAAAATAAATTTAAAATATTCCTATTTTTTCCAGACATATTAACACAGAATGCAAAAACAAAACAAAACAAAATGCCATGCTTAATATAGAATTTAACTTTTTATTTTGAGAGTAATTATTTGATTTAGACTATGGTATTTTTTTTTCTAATTTTCATGGAAGAAGTACAGAGTAAAACAGAATAATCTTTTGTTATTGATCTAACCTGCCCATTACCAATCATTAAATCAAAGAAAACTGAAGATAATTTTAAAACCAAGTAAGAGAAAAGGACAATTATATTTGATCGGCAACTGAAAACAAATAACTGTCTCCAGTACTTGTTCCCCTAAGCTAAATAACAAAAAGGGGAAAAAGAAATTTTTAAATTTCTTTCTATGATGCAACATTGCCCATATGCTTAACTGTATCTCTCTGGCTATATCTGATTTTCAAACATGAGACCAACTAGTACTGAATAGATGGTTAGGTAGACTTAGTTTTGCACATATATGCATATGCACGTATGTCATATACATGTACATATATATCATAGCCAGTTATAATTGCCAGTCTTTTCTAGCCTCTCCTGGGCCCTGAAAACATTGATGGCCATGTAATTTTAGCTGTATTAAGTACACTGTTAATTCCTTTTCCAAACAGCTCATGTTTCTCAATTTATAATGTGACTGTGTGTTCTATTTTAAGGCCCCAAAAAGCACTGGCTATTATTCAACCTAGTAATATTTTTAGTTATATAAAATGTGATTCTTTGTTTTGGTATTCAGATTAATTCTAATGCTAAAAATATGTTTCAAGACTTATTAAAATGAAATGTGATTATGTGTTGAGTAAGATTAAATAAGATTAATCAGGAAATATTTTACATTAGCAGCAATCACAATGTAGTCCTTTGAGAGACTAGAGGGCAGTCTCTACATAGCTAATAATCTCAAATCTTCAATGAACAGATTTCCTCTGTCAAAAAGAATCATGTGTGCCAATTTAAACCTTACCTTAAATTCTTACCATATTAAGGAAACAGCTATGATTAGAAGAAATGCATGGAAAAGAAATACAAATAAATAAAGAAGAACTGCCACCAAAAGAAAAATACTTCCATTATCAAGACAAAGCAGAGGCTCCTAATTTCAAAGCTGATAGTCTTTCCTTGGTATCATACAGAGGACCTTGTGTCCACTAATTTAAAGATTCTATACAATCTCTGGTAACTCTTAGCTAAATTTAGGGCTGAACATGGTTATTTTTATGATTAAATTTAGAAATATCTATTATACCTTTCCACCTGCAAGATCTTTGAGGTAGCCTTTACTAATTACTTTCTAGCTCAGCACTGTTTATCATCATGGTGTTAAACTATTTTTGTTGTGTTTTCTTTTATTAGTTTACAAGCTCTGTCTTGTTGACTCTTCTTAAAGAGTGGACTGCATTTGTTTTTCCTGAGTGAGTTACAATCATAAAGGAAGGGACACAGTTCAAGAGAAGGTAAATGAGTTTTCCAAAGTAACAAAAGGTAACTTTATATAAAACCTCAGAAGGTCTCATTTTAACATTCTTTCTTACCGTAACAGTGAGTGAGTGAATGAATGAATGAATGAACGAACAAATGAACTGTGAATACTTGTCAGTTTCTTTTTGTTTGTGTGGTTGGTTTTGGTTTTATTTTTTTGAGACAGTGTTTCTGTGTAACCCTGGCTGTCTTTAAAGTTGCTCTGCAGACCAGGCTGGCCTTAAACCCACAGAAATCTGCCTGCCTCTGCCTCTGTAATAATAGACTTTGCTTTCTTTCTATTAGAATCACTTTGCAAACAAATCTGTCCCTCTCCCCTCCCCCTCTGTGGTTTTTCAAGACAGGGCTTCTCTGTGTAACAGCCCTGGCTGTCCTGGAACTCACTCTATAGACTAAGCTGGCCTGGAACTCACAGAGATCTGACTGCTTCTGCCTATTTCTGCCTCCTGAGTGATAAGCTTAAAAGGTGTGTGCCAGTGCGCCAAGTCAGAGCACTTTAGTTTTTTTTTTTTTTTTTTTTTTTTTTTACACCAATTCCTTCCTCTGCCAAGAAGTAATTGATGTAAGGACCACACTAGAAACAAACACACACCTGAGAGAAAGTTAATTCCTTTATAAAACGAGTCTTGCCTCCTCCCCTCAAAGAAACACAAGGGCATGTCATCTAACATATGAACCAATATTCTTAAGTTTTTTTGGTGAAGCTTGCCTGCCCCCCCCCCTCTCTCTCTCTCTCTCTCTCTCTCTCTCTCTCTCTCTCTCAACTTTATAAATTCTCTTCATTTTTTTACTGGACTTGAAATGCATCCCCCTACCCTCTCCCCTGTTGCCCTGGAGTTAAATTTTTAGCAGTCTGCAGACCAGAATTTCGCATGGCCAGTCTAATCTAATTGTCCCCGATCTCTTCAGAGAGTCTAAATTAGCCTAGCTTTTAGGTAGAGAATCAAAGGGAGGTTGTGGGTTGAGTCAGAGACACCATAACAGCTTTTCAGGATGGTCTCTCATTGCAAGCGTAACGTCGTCATCTTATTCCCTTGGTTGCATTTGAGAGACCCGTCAAGGATACAAAAGGATGCACGCGGGAACCACTGCTGGCTCCTGCTGCCCTAAAATTAAATCACTGCTTCTTTCGGGACTGCTCTTTAGCTGAAAAGGGCTTCCACAAGCACCTGATCTGATCTGATCCTCAGTCCGGGCCCGTGGGGTGTGCGTCGCCCCCTAGCCTATTTTACAGCTGAGGCAAGGATCGTGTCCACAGACCGAGTCCTAAGGGCCGCCCACAGCCAGGTGAGGAGCAGCCGACCCGCGGCAGGGCAGGCGTGTCACCCGCAGCCTCTCACCTGGCGGGCGACCGAGACCGGGAAGATGTGCCGGGCGGCGGCGGCCGCTCGGATGTCGAGTCCCTCAGTGCATCTCCGCCAGGCTGGGCCGGGACCCCAGACCCCGACGCCCCCGCCCCCACGCCCAGGCTCACCGTAGGGTCGCGCCAGGCCGAAGGGACTGCGAAGCTTCACGTCCGCCGCAACCTGCCGGGGTCAGAGACCCGCACCCCGAGGCGACCGCCCGCGGCGGTGCTCACCCGAAGGCCTGTGGGCTCCCGGGAAAGAAAATCCCGTTCCCAGTCAATCGGCTGACATTTCCCAGTCAGCCTGAGCTCCGCCCACTTCCGCTTGCGCCTCCTCTCCCCACCCCCCAGTGACGCCCTGCGCCGCGGGGGGTTGTGGGTATCTGGAGGGTTTGGCTTAAAAAAAAAAAAGTAGGAGTGGAGGAAGTAGGAGTAAACCTAGTCCGACTGCGAGCCAGGCCCCAGGACTACAATTCCCAGCAGGCGACGGGGCGTCAGAAGGCGGCTGCTGGAGAGCGGGATGCAGAACTCCGCGCGCGCGGTGGTGATGGAACGTTGCTAGTTCGCGGGTCCGGCTGCTGGGGCCCCCGGGGATCACTCTGAGCCGCGCGCTGGAAACGGAGTCTGGGAGGCAGGCAGGTCTTAATACGCATCCAAAACCCCTCAATCCGTGGACGCAATGCACAGGTAAACCGATTGCAAAAACGGGCAAAGCATGAATGAACCGTTTGAATTCTTTTAGGCCGCGAATGTTGCTTCTTGCTCAAATGATCTTATTATGTGAATCGTTGCTTAGCCCCCTTTTTGAAGAAAGTGGATGGATGCATACTTTAGCTCACTAAATACACACATATCTATGTGCCGTTTAATTTGGCTTCCTGAATAGGTTTTCCTCCCACTATTTTTAATTATGATATGAATGCCACCCCTCTTTTTCCCTCCACGGGAAGAAATTATTGAGGCCTTCTGCGGGACCATAAATCCCAAAGCCTTTCGAAGTGGGGTGTGTATGTGTTTCCGATTTTCTCTTTCATTCTTGGAAGCTGGCTGTAGGCACGTTAAAAATGCGGTACTGTTACTCACTGTGACTTTTCTACACAGCATACTTGACGCTTCTTTCATTCCTATCTTGGAATTATTTAGGGGTGTACTTTCAAAAGGAATGGGGAATGTGTGTCCTTATGCAGGAAGCACCTTCAGGAGATTCCGGACCAGAGTAGCAACGTCACCACCAGCTTCACGTGGGGATGGGATTCCAGCAAGACCTCTGAACTGCTCTCAGGCATGGGTGTCTCTGCCTTGGAGAAGGAGGAGGTGGACAGTGAGAACATTCCACATGGACTGCTTTCGAACCTCGGCCACCCCCAGAGCCCTCCAAGGAAACGGCTAAAGAGCAAAGGCAGCGACAAAGACTTTGTGATCATCCGTAGGCCTAAGCTCAATCGAGAGAACTTTCCAGGTAAAATATGACACTAAAATTAAAATTTCGTAAGAAATGGATTCAACTGCTTTGTTTGAACTAAATTGATCGAACCGAACGTTTCCTTGGGGGAAATCTTTAGGATGGGTACCTAAATTTGCATAGTTTTCCAGTATTGCAGTGAAATGGAAATCAGTCGTTGAAGTGTCCTGGAATCTTGGTAGGTCTTTTATCTTCTGGTTCACAATTGGCTTGAAACTTTTAACCCACTAGACAGCATTCCTGCCCTTTTCCTTACAAGGAAATCTCTCTGCTCAAAGTCCAGCTCAGCACACTGATAAATGGGAATATAAGCAAGGATCTTAGAGGATTCCTTTAGTCTCTAATGCACTTTGTACCAGAGTGAACTTTATATCTTAATTGCTTAGGTTATTTGTAGGCACATTAAGAGGGAAATGTTAATGGTGGGGGGGGGGGGAGTTACTCCCTTGCTCCACTTCCAACAGGCTCTTGGGATGTTGTATTTCCAGTACTGTGTTATTATAGTTACAGTCATAGAACACTAAAAATTACTTAGAATGATCCCCCTATATCCAACTATTCATTGTGCCTTTCCTTCCTTGTGAGAAATGATCCAAGCTTTCACCATCTCTCCATGAATTATTGTTTTTGTTTTGTTTTTCTAGGCTGGGTTTCTCTGTGTAGCTTTGGAACCTGTCTTGGAACTCGCTCTGTAGACCTGGCTGGTCTCGAACTCACAGAGATCCACCTGCCTCTGCCTCCCAAGAGCTGGGATTAAAGGCTTGCGCCACCAACGCCTGGCTTCTTGAATTATTGTAATGGGTTTATAGTTTCAGTTTTTTTCTCAGTTCTGTCTCCTGGAGGTAAAATGGATTAAAATAGAATTTACTAAAAAAAAAAATAGAATTTACCTTAAATTATTCCCTTACTATTGAATCCCATTCCCTGATTTCCCAAGCATTTTAAACAAGTACTTCCAGGGTAGATCAAGACTCAAGCACCCAGGCAGGGCATTAGGGTAAATATAATGTATTGACCCAAGGCATTGTTGGAGTTTTTTGTTTGTTTGTTTGTTTGTTTGTTTTTTTGAGGTGTTTTATTTTGTCTTTTAAGGAGTGATTTGTCAAGTATTTGCTGAGAATACACTATGGTTTCCACAGTGTAGTGCTAAGAATACAGCAGTGAACAAATCATATACATTTTTAAATCTTAGAACTTTGTTTCCAGTGAAGAAATACTAAAAACACAGTAGACATGCTATTCTACTTAATGTGTTAGGCCATGGAGAATGGAAGTCCTGGAATCAGAAGATAGACTGTAACTGGGTATTGACCCTTATTGGATAGTGACCTTTAAGCAAACAAAGGCAAATGGGGGAGGGAGCAGGAATAAGTCATGGAAATGTCTCTTGGTGTAAAGAACCTCAGACAAAAGGAACAACCACCATAAAATTACCCAGAGAGAAGGATGGGGCATTTAGTAAAAGCAGAGTACAAAGAAGTATGGGCACTTGGGGAATTGAATAATTAATGATCTTACCTCATTAAACTGCCCTCCTTTTTTTGTTGTTTCCTGTTGTTTTGAGACTGGGTTTCTCGATGTAGACCTGGTTATCCTAGAACTCTAGACCAGGCTGGCCTTTACTGAGTCACCTGCCTCAGTGCTGGGATTAGTGATGTGGGCCACCATCCAGATGCTCACTGCCCCTTTTTAAAGGAACACTGTGACTGAGCTGTTAAGATGTTAAGATATGGTGAGTGGTAAGCCGTGGTCAGATTCTAGATAGAGCCCAAATTCAGAGACACTAGAATTAGAAGGGTGTTGAGATTGTTAGTGGAGGAGGTCAACAAAGTAAACAGAAACTGGAGAACAGATTGAGATTGAAGAAAACTTTAGAGTGAAGTCTCGCAAAGACAATGTAAATAAGTATATGCTTAGGTTCTCACGTCTGGCATAATCTGCAGATGGGGTAGTAGGTAGGCTGATTGGTATGGTGATACACACCTTGAGTCTCAGCGATCAGAAGGCAGAAGCAGGCAGATCTCCTGTTAGGGACAGCCAGGGCTAGTGAGACTGTCTCAAAATGAAGAAAAAAAGAAAGAAATCTGTTCTGGGTTCTCAAAACTTCTGTAGGAAAGGAGGGAGTCTTGTTCAAGTTGTAGCATGTGAATCCACATTAATGCCAGGTATGGGGGCACACTTCTATAGTCCTGGGGTTTGGGAGGCGGAGGTGGGAAGGTAGGGAGTTCCAGGAAAGCATGAGCTTTGCAGTGAGGCTGTCTCAGAACTGGAAACATAACTGAATAGATAATAAATAATATATAAGATTGATTAGAGAGGTATAGTAGAAAGTCCACACAAATCTGAATTTAAATCCCGGTGCTGTCATTTCTCTGTCTTGAAAAATTGCTTGATCTTCCTGAGCCTTAGTTTCTTTATCTGTGAAATGGAGCAATAATTCCTACTTAATGGGTTGCTGTGAAGATTAAATAAAACTGTAAAGTTCTTATTATAGAAAGGGCATATAATATTCAATACTGGTCGACAAAATTTCTGACACTGGTTTGGCAAGCCAGTTGACTTATGTAAAATGATATAATGTTAAACTGTCTGTAATAATGTTAATCTTACTCTGTGCATAGAGAACTCCTTTTCTTTGAAACTTAATGTGACTTCTATTTTTAGCAGCTGAATTTTAACACTAGTAGTGTGGTGTTTGACCAGCCAAATATGGCAAGAGATGCTTCTTGCTAAGATGAGCAGATTTTGATTAAGTTGCCCATTGTGAGTAGCTTAGGGTCTGGAATATGGCTGCTCTGTATTGGTGCCACATTTGCATGCCCACGGATGTGAGTCAGAAGTCACTTTTGAAACCAAGCACATTGAGGACCACACAGAAGATAAGGGAGGATTGCTGTCTCCTAGGAGTTTAAAAATGGAGTTGAGGAAAGACAAAATACAGAGCAGCTCCCCCACAGCAATATGTCTGCCAGGAAGGCGGCAGTGTGAGGAGCTCTGAGGAACTCAGACCTTGAGTGCCCTGGGGCTGGACGGAGGGAGGGGCCCTTTGTGCAACAGTAACTCACCTCCCATCCCAGTAGAGGACAACAGCCCTTCTCCACTCAGCAGAAATGAAGAATGGAGGAGAGGAACTGAACTGGTCCAATCAATAAGTTTCCCTTTCGTTGTCTTTTGTTTCTTTTTGCTTTTTTTCTTTTCTTACCTTGCTGTGTAACCCTGGTTGATCTCATACTCACTATATAGTCTTGAAATCTCAGCATTTCTCCTGTCTCAGCCTACCTCACAAGTACTAGGATGGCAGCTGTGAGATACCACACCCAGCGTTTGTTTGTTTGTTTATTTGTTTGTTTAAAGACTCTTGTAGTCCAGGATGACCTTGAACTCATGGCAATACTGTCTTCAGCTTCCCAGGTGCTTGAATTACAGTGCATCAGCCCAGAATGAGCCTTGATGTTAAGATTAACTTTTAAAATGTCTGTCTAAAATGATGACTTTTAGCAGTTTTGAGATCAGGAGGTAATGAAGGCAATAGCATACATTTATTCGGACATGGCCTTACACGTGCATACACTGGTGAACTGTAGATGAGGAGTGGGTTTATGCTGTAAGCTGAGAGAGACAGCTGCTAGAAAGGAGTCCTTCCAAATCCCTAGAAGCAAGCCAGTGTAGCTGGCTTCTCCCTGCAGGGAGGTTTGCAGTTGTCAGGACAGGTGGCTAATAACTCTGCCAGGATTAGGGCTGCACAGGCTCCACCTGCTGTACACAGAGATCTGGTAACTGGCCCCGGACTTTTGTTGGTTCTTTGCTAAGCAAGCTTTCCCCACGGGCTGCATTCCATCCTCACATCTGGCACTTAATTCCTTCTCATCTGTCTATGTG